GCACTTGTTACTAGTAGCGAGGCACTTGTTACTAGTAGCTTCTTGTTACTACAAGTAATGCACTTGTTACTAGTAGCGAGGCACTTGTTACTAGTAGCTTCTTGTTAGTACAAATGCTCTTCCGAACTGAAGATATGTTTCAGGACAATTCAATGCCCGCTGCACCTGCGTCATGAAGCGATCCTCAGTGGATAACCGTGCTGAAAGGCTTGGCACCTCACCTCCTCGTTCTCCTTCTATGTCCCATCAAAATGACCAAAGTTACTTCGAGCCGTGGCTGGGATGGTCAACCCTCCCTCGCCCACCAGCTGAGCTGAAGGTATGAAGTTGGCACACTGGAGGAAAAAATGCCTTTCTATCATGAGCTGAAGGAGGAACAAGAATTGCCGCATCTCAACTTGCAACACTCTGATACACCTATACCAGATCCATGCTTGGTCTTGTTTCGGTCTGTGGCCCTGAACAAATGCTCAGCTGAGACGCCAATTCTCCTTCCAAGGCCTTAATTTTTGTGTCCTCCCGAGTCTTAGCTTCTTCTTGCTCAGCCTCATTCAGAATTGGCAAGCACAGCAGACTGTCTACCTTGGCTATGCTAGAGGTTTGCCAAACGTTATCTACTCCCAACGCACCTTCATGCGGAGCAGCTTAATGTCTTTCTGCACCTGGGCAATCATCAAGAAGCACTTCTCACTCACAAGCATCTGAATAAAACTAAGGTTGCATGTTTTCAAAAGGGCAGTGTCATTACTCTGTCATTGACACAAATGTGCGGCTGGGTTCTTCAGCTGAGTTCTTCTTGACACTTTGTGAAAAACTAGACAACAGCTTCGCATCCAAACACTAATGGTTAAAGAGGACGTGATCTCCAAGGCATTGACCGTCCAAAGTGGTCGAAACGATGACAAAACTCATGGCCGCTTAAAGCTGTCCCAGAAACACAACAACTGGCTATTCAAATTGGCTCTTGTAGAATGGCCAACTTGCCAGCACACCAGCTCTTAGCTTTGGACGGTGTACATATGAGTCTTGTAGGCCAGGAAGAAATCCTGAAAGCTATAGAAAAGCAAACAATTCCAATGAATTTGAAGATGAAAATCCAAAGCATGCAAGAAAAGGCAGCCACCTGCTCATGCTCACGGAGAAGTGCTTCCATGCGCAGGTCAAGGCTGTTTGCCAAGTTGGTAAGATCCTCGAGCCAGGAAGTAGCAGAGGAAGAAGGAGCAGCTTGCTCTCTTGCGTTCCACATTCGAAGTGTTCGCTACCCGTCCTGAAAGTGCTGTATTATCTTGGTTCCAGAATCTGTAGATTCCAGATTTCTGAACCTTGCAAAGGGTTCAAAGTATTTTTGTCACTGTTTGGCAAACCAAAACCCTCCACGGAGCCTGTTCTTGTCCTTCGTGCCACTCTTCTTTGCCTCCGCATCGATGCCGGTAAAGAACCTTGGCATGTAAGGTTCGCAAAGGCACAAGCACAGCTCAGTTCTGAGAAGCTGGGGTTACACATTCAGCACATTCTCTTCATTACATTGACATGTCTGCTGACTGTCCATCACACATTTAGGCATAGCACGTGCGGCTGGCCGACTCTTCATCAACCTGCGCCTTTAGGAGATGGCGACATCTTTTGAATTGTTCAGAAGCGGAGAACTCCAAGGCTTAGTTCTTCTATACATATTGTATATATACATATATACAAACATAAACAAACACAAAATAAACATTATATGTATATAGAGATGTACTGTGTATATATGTATATATAGATCTTCCCAGCAAGAGACCTCAAACAATGTTGACCTTGGTCTAAAGGTCTGAGGTCTAGAGGCGTAGAAACAGAAGGTCTAGAGATCTAGACGTTTTGGGTCGTGAGATAGAAACAGATCTACAGGTCTAGAGTTCTGTGGAGGTCTGGAGGTCTAGAGACTTAGAGCCAAAGAGATCAAGAAATCTGAAAGGGTCTTGAGATCCCGAGATATCAAGAGCTCTAGGTCTAGAGGCTTAAAAGCCTCAAGGTCTGGAGCAGAGAGGTCTGGAAATATAAAAGTCATACATATGAGGGCACATGAATGAGACACACCTGAGAGGACAGGAAAGAGTTTCTGAAGGAGAAAGTATGCTTGTTGATAGCCAAGGACCTGTAGTAAGGCGGAGTAAGGGGTTCTTACAATAACTGTCAATTCGGTTGTTGATTGGTGTTGCTCATCAGGCGTTCGGCCAATTCGCTGTTATTTACGCTACATTCATGCCTCTCGAGACCTTCGAAGTGCATTTGGACTGCGCAGACTCTAAGAATCTGCGGGGCCCGAGTGGGTGCTTTCCTAGACTGCGCTCTTGTTGTGGTGCTGTGCGCATTTTTGGACGGAGTGGCCACTTTTTGTTTCGCCTACGGGAAACCTGATGTTTTGGTGGTCCGAAGCTGACTTCTCGTTGCAGGTGCAAGAGTCCGGCGGCTTCACTTCCATGTGCAGATTTCGTGGCAGGCGCAGCACTTTGGATATGGAGGTGCAGTGAATCGCGACCTTTGGACATGTAGCTCGTTTTGCAAAATCCGGGGAGGTATGGAGTGAAAGCTGTGCTTTGGAATCTTCATGTTGTTGGAAACGCTTCTGCTGCGGAACGCCTTGGCAGGGCTGTGAATCTTGATGCTGAGATTTTGCGGCAGGCGCAGCATTTTGTAATCCTTGATGTGCGGATTTCGTTGGCACGGCGCTTCGTGAACCTGGAAGTGCAGAATTTGTGCATCAAATGTGCTCCAACATGTGGGCTCTCATGTGTGTCGCTCTTATGTATGTGCCCTGTTATGTGTGCAAGGACACTTCTACCACTTCTACCGCTTCTATTAATCACTATTTTTCCCAATAAATGCATTGGATATCCCCAAAGCCTTACAAAAGAAGTGGCTGGCGGATGGCTTTGGTGGCCTGAGTGTCACCCTGCGGACTCGTAGCGGGCTCTTGCGCCTTCAACCAGCAAGCGCTTCAAAACAAACGTTTGGCAACACGATGCAATGCCACCAAACATGAGGTGCTGAGGGCGGGTCCTCTTCTGTCATGAGCAACACCTTGGAAAATGAACTGCTTCAATCATTTGTGTTGATGTGGACAGTTTCAAAAAATATATGCTTGCCTCCATATCACTACATACAACAGTCTTAGGTCTCATTTGCAAAAGTGCAGCAAGGTCACAGGCGAGCTGCCATTCGCCCGGCTCTCAAACTACAAATCAGCTTCAGGCCAAACGCAAGAGCAGGGGCAACTTGTAGAGGAGTCACAAGCCAGCTTAAGGATTCAATGGCCATGGTGATGTGTCAGAATGTCTCGTTTCTACCTGGAATGCTTGCTGCAGGGTCAAAATTGCAAGTCAGCAAACAAGCGCCGAACACTGCGTTTACCATTTTCCCTTTCGGCTTTGTTTTGCTTCTGCAGCGGCAAAAGCAAAGACCTGCCAGGATCTGGGCTGCACATTCCAGGCTTTGGGGGAATGTTGACACAACTTTTTGAGAATGACAAGCTGGGCTCGCGCAATGCTCCCGTGGTAGCATTGCAGCGCCTTGGTTGCACCCAAAGTATCAGTCTCCATTTAACAAAAGAACACACTTAGGCACCAAAACACTCTATGAGTCCTTTGCGTGAATGCCGCCTCTGCGGTCGACTCTGTGGTGCAAAGCAGACCACACCATCGTGCTAAGGCCTTCGCCAATTGAAAGGCTGTGTTTCCCTCATCGTCCTTCACAATCTTCACCCCTCCCTCGTTTTGGCTTTGTATACTTGTGGATTGAATATTCGGATGCAATTACCAACATCTGTATATAGACATCTGGCGACTTAAACTCTCGAGGCTCTCTGCAGAAGCTTGACAGAAAGTTGCTTGAATTAGACTCCAAACGAAACAAGAAGGCCAGCAGGCGCACCAACTGCAACAAGCCATCAAGAAGTATTGGCATGCGACTCACAAGAAATGGCTAACCAACAGAATCAGCTAATTATATCATCTGAACCACAAGTCTACAAATAATGGTGTTTTCCATCCGTTTGTCGATGTTATATATAACTTATAACGAAGTCCTGTGCATCAACGTCTGCCCTGGCTGCTAGCAGAGCCTGCCAAATCTTTTCAAACAAAATTTGGATGCATACTTCATTGTAGCTCGCAGAGAGCCTTGAGCCATACAGGTTCATAAACAGAGAAATATGAATGTCCAATTTAGACACTGTAAGACATGTTTACTTCTGTCGCATTTTACCAGCACTGTACGATCGATTTGCAAGACTACCAAGCCTTCACAGCCAACGCGCTGCCATGCGTAGCGGCCTGGGCTAAGCTGGACCACGGGACCGTTTGGTAAGAAATATAATGCCAGGAGCTACTAGTAGCGTCCTTGCTCGTGCCCTTTGTTACTGGTAGCGTCCTTGCTCGTAGCGATGCCCTTCGTTACTAAGAGCGTCCTTGC